GAAGTCAGCACATCGAACGAGGTTGACTGACGAACATTTGAAAGCAATCCTCTTGGTTGGATGCAGCAATTCCAAAGCAAATATTGATGACATCTCAAAAGCTAAACGCCAGTTTCACAAATCTCACTAACCTTTTTTGCTGCTTAGTTTGTGAGATTCTGATATGTGCGCAATGGGTGTGATATAACTATCTTATTGCTAACGTCGCCTTCTTTAATAACTTTTTGGTAAATAAACATGTTTGTTGTCTTCATTTCTTGTGTATTGAACAAAATGGTTATGAGCGCGTTCTCTCAGATATCTGGCTCGCTGTGAAAAAAGTTTGGTGACCCCTGCTATAAGAGATAATTGTTTGCTTTAAGAACTTATTTCAAAATAGCAAAAATCTATATACACATATAATGTATAGTAATTGAAATGTGACTATTTTACAAAACACAGCCAAGACAAGTTACTTTGTACAGACCAAAGGTCAGTTCTATGTTATTGATAAAATAACATGACTGCACGTGTGCTGCATCATTGTAACTTCTGTATTGTTAGCTAGGCACAGCTGAAAGGTCAATATAATAAACATAGATAAATGTATAATATTATGAGATTTAGGATATTTAGTCTAAACATTTATGTTTTCGTGTTATAATCTGTGTTCATTCTAGAATGAAAGAGGCATAATTTATATCTATTCCTAATTTTTTATGGTGGTTTCGAGATCGGTCAAATCTACCGAACCCTACAAAGATTCATTACTCAGAATAACAGATAATATACAAAGTTTTTTCTTAAAAAACGTTTGATAACTATCTGGACATTATAAATATTTTGCATGTGATTTATGAAAAGTTTCTGATGCATAGAAGTATTATTAATCTTAAAATGAAAATTACTTTGCACGTTAGATAGGCAATATGCGATAAAAAGGCCCGAGAAAAACATTGCTTTACAAACCTCAAGACTTAAAAAAAAATGATATTTTGGGTATGAAAGCATTGTAATGTTTACTGTTAATATATCAAATTTCGTTAACATTCGTTTACTAATTTAAAAGTGATAGCATGAAAACTATAACAAGCACAAAATGGTTACGTGCTGAGAGTTAAAACGAAAATCAGTTCATTAGGCTAAGTTCCTGTAACTTTGTTCCCCCCCTCCCCCAACTGCCTCATTGTGCAAATTACAAGTAAATGATAAGAAATAAGACACTTCTACTTCAAATGAAAATTTTTTTTATTACAGCCAAAGAGTCATGTATGGAAAATAAAAGCTAGGCAAATTTTGTCCATTACCAAATGCCCTACACATTACAGATACAAGGATGAAATGAAGTTAATTTTTCCAAATTATTTAAGAATAATAATAATAAAAAAAATATATTAAACTCGATGCAAATTGCAAAATTTATGTAATTTCCCAAGCTACAATAGGAACAAAAACATAAACTAGACACCTATATCACATGCATCCCGTTGATTAAGGAGCTATACCATATGATGCTTTGAAAAAAAAATCAACCTTGAATTTGAGACAAGATGCCTAAAAACTTAGTATTATATAAACAACTATGAAAACAGAGAAAATTTGTTTGAGTTTTAGTAAGTTGTTAAATCAGAAATACACATTTATAAGAGCTATCGAGTTAAATCAACTTGTTTGCTTACTTATAAAATTAGAAGTACCAGAACAACGTGCTATGCAATAACAACTTTGGTACCTGCAAGAAAATGCCTGAGAATTATAAACTAATATGTATATTAAAAAAGCCAGTTGAAAAAACATGAAAGGAGAAATAAATGATTGACATCAGATTATCTAAAGCAATAACTCCTCTTAAGTATTAAATATGTAACCAATATTTCAAAATTCAGCTTGGAAGAAATGTGTTATAAGTGACAGTTAATAATATATTTAGAAAAATAAAACAAAAATGCTGTATTTGAATCAATTATGAATATTTCTTGCATTTAAAATATGATGTTACTAGCTTTATCATGCATTTTACACACACTTGTTTGTACGTAATCCACTGGATCTTAACAGTATTTTTCTAAAACAAATGAAGAAACACAATCACATCTAGACATACTACAACTGTAGGTACTACTCAACTGAATCCTTTTTCTTAAGTCCATGTAGTCGTACAGTTTGTCAATTACAAGTAATCTAAAAACTTAGGCACAGATACAACATAATTTTTCAAAATGTAATTTAATGATAACACTTATCAAGTTCACAATACATTTACAAAAAATTAATCTTTATTATATTCTTTGACAATCACATACAAATGAACAACTTAAAAAAGATTTGTAAATCTCATTTATTCACCCAAAGGGAAAAAGAGCACACACATGCTATTCATTTACATCAATATAAAATGTATTTTCACCCATTTTCTATACACACCAGATTTTGGTTCCACTCAACTTAAACTGAAACTGCAAGCAGATATGTCAATCCCATGACATATGCCAATTAAATAACAGCCCAAATCATTAACCTGTCAAGTCAGTTGCAACTACTAACTTTGTAACCACAATTACAGTATATTACCTACTGCCACATAAAAATTATTTTGATTCTGTTGCTTAATATGTCTTTGCCACAAATTAACCAAATAATAGAAGTTATTCAAAGTTTCCCAGTTAATGACATTTTTATCTGTGTCTGAACCACTACAAGTTCTACCTCTAATATTTGTAAAAATTATTAAACTACTTAGAGTAAAGATGTGTTGTGAAAAGACACAATTTTACAAAAGACAGTATCACTATTATTTAAATATTTATAATTTCAGGAAAGTCAAAAACTGAACAAACACTTGCATAAACAAAGAAAGGTAATAAAATAAAAAACAATTATGGGTATTTGCCTTTTGATCACCACTCTAGTACCAGACAAAATATTTTCATTCATGGTTTCATAAAAACCTTAATTATTCATAACTTCTGCCTTTTGGAAAACTACAAATTAAATATTTCCTTGTGATACAGATTAATTAAAACTGGTTTACTCAATATTCTGCATCAATATATGCTACACAAAAAAAGACCACTTTAAAATGTATATACACAAATGTAACAATACTCATCAACTATTTAAGGATAGTATTGATAATAATTCAGTATCACAACAGTAAAAACTTTAAACTATTACTTCTAGTTATAATTTTCTGAACCAATACAACAGAAATGCATTTTCTTATTTTCAATCACTGTGGAAAAATTTAACTAATTTCCTGCTATCATTTTACCATCTTTACATAACTGCTAAAAATGTTAATTTTCACAAATTAAAATTGAAGTAGCCAACCAAGAAATAAAATAAGTTTATTCTCCTTTAAGAGTAAACAAACAAAACAAAAGAGCTGCAAGTTTTTTCTTAATACAGTTCAAACACTAATCAATCAACTAGATCTATGCCTAAACCACCTGTATATCTAACAAGTGTATCCACACACTGCAAGTTTCAATATTTACACTTCTGATAAATGTGAGAGCACGGAACAAGAAACTATTACTTGAAAAATTGTACCATTTCACCATTATGAAAACATTGGGATGTGGCTGTTTCCCACCCACAGTTTCAAGTCCTATATTTAATGTTCTTCAGGTGTATCTTATAGACTTGTGTACGAGACTCAATGTTGTTGAACTTTATTTGCAAGAAAATAAAACACACAGTTTACCCACCTAGTATACACAGATGGAAAAGTTGTTACTGCATCTCTTGTTCTTGTGCTGAAATGTACAAGATAAATACAAAAAAGATAATTTTTAATGATTAGCATGTTAAGAGTTTCTAAGTAACATAAGTACATAATTTTTACAGCTTTCTGTTCATAACTTTCATCCTTCTATGAACATGCTTATACTGGGCTATTATCAATAACTTCTGATTAAAAGAAGTCCATTACATACATAAAAACTAAAAATAATAACTTAATAAATAATGTAGATAACTATATATATTAGTTTAACTAGGAGTATGTAATAATGTTATAAAACAAATCATAACAAGACAGAACTTACAATGATCAGAATAATAAGCTACCAATGTAAAATAATCTTACTTTGAAAAACACACAAACACACACATATATATCCACACAACCATACCTATGATAAACATTATAATTAACTCGCTGAAGGCCCTTCATAAGACAGTAAATACTGATTAATTTGCCTTCTGGAAATTAAATCTAAATAACTGTTTCTGAACATGTTTTCTAAAAATTAATTATATTATAGTAACAATATATGTATAAATAATATTTATGCTTTTTTCTAGCATTACATGAAAACAACATTTTTTGCTAATATTTAGTCATCTCCTATATGTGTGGTTCTTAATTAGAATTTTCACTTATATATATTGTGTTGTGCTCAAATTTGCTTCTTCATAAAGCCTTTTAGATTGAACCATGAGAAAAAACTGGTTGTTGAAGAAATATTCCTACATGATCAAATGTCTGACACTGCAAGTTATTAACTGTGATGGCAAAGAATTTCATGATGAAGAGAAAATGGATGAAGGTATAACGCTTCATAATAAATGCTTATAAAATTTGACTACATTTTTAAAAATCTCGTACTTAACCCTTTCCACACAGGTCAACGGCCATGTCATCTCGTTTGTTGACTCACATTCAGAATTTTATTGAACTACTATTCATAAGTTTGATATCAAAATGTAGATTATAATTCAAATTTTAGTATTATACTTTACTCAATTTCTTAATTTAAAATTAAATATTAAAAAAAAACAGTTAAACACTGATTTTTGTGTGTCACATGGTATGTTGAATGCAGCACTGGATCAAATTAGATGTTTGTGATGTCAAAATACTAAGTCTATAGATTACTGATATTGACAAGCTAGAATATAAAATAAAAGCCTCTTATCTTTTCAATTTTCTAAGATATTGCTCATGTAATAAATCAAACACAGTAGCACTCCGCACACCTCTTTCCATTTTTGGAAATGCTCCCGTATATACACTTACTTCTATGTATGACATTCTGAGCTTTCAATGAATAACCAATTGAAAGCTCAGATGTCATACAAAGAAGTAAGTGTATATAAATATATATATATATATATTTATGGTATTGATGTAGTAATTTATGATTTTTTAGCTATTCACATGTATATATAAAACCTAAAAAAAAATTTGTTTCATATCCTCCACGTCCAAACTTTTTAAAGGCTTAGCAACCTACGTTAAGCAGCAACCGAGTACAAAGGTCGTAACTAGAATAGATAATTGTTTGCTTTACTTTTTCACTTACTGTTCTATATTTTAAGAAAAATAAGTTTAAGAAGTTATTTCAAAATAGCAAAAAGCTATATACATATATAATGTATAATAATTGTAAATGTGACTTTATTTTATAAAATACTAGTTGACTAAAACCACAGCCAAGACAAGTTACTTTGTAC